AGCTACTGGAATAGGGTAGTCTGTGCATTAAGCATTTGGCACTGAGTTTTCCCATATAACAGGAACCGATGAAAGAGCATTAGAGGTCCCACACTATCTCATTGCCTGGGAGAGGAACTTCAGCTACTGGAATAGGGTAGTCTGTGCATTAAGCAACCGATGAAAGAGCATTAGAGGTCCCACACTATCTCATTGCCTGGGAGAGGATTGGAGTTCTGGTTGTTTAAATACCCCAGAATTCCTACCTCTCTTATGGCTTTGAAGTATGGTGTAGTGGATACAGCATGCAACTGCCACCTTGTTGGCCAGTGTTCGAGTCCTCTGGTGGGTTGAGTGTCTAAAAAGTTATAAACTTCAGCTACTGGAATAGGGTAGTCTGTGCATTAAGCATTTGACACTGAGTTTTCCCATATAACAGGAACCGATGAAAGAGCATTAGAGGTCCCACACTATCTCATTGCCTGGGAGAAGATTGGAGTTCTGGTTGGTTAAATACCCCAGAATTCCTACCTCTCTTATGGCTTTGAAGTATGGTGTAGTGGATACAGCATGAAACTGCCACCTTGTTGGCCAGTGTTCGAGTACCCTGGTGGGTTGAGTGTCTAAAAAGTTATAAACTTCAGCTACTGGAATAGGGTAGTCTGTGCATTAAGCATTTGGCACTGAGTTTTCCCATATAACAGGAACCGATGAAAGAGCATTAGAGGTCCCACACTATCTCATTGCCTGGGAGAGGATTGGAGTTCTGGTTGGTTAAATACCCCAGAATTCCTACCTCTCTTATGGCTTTGAAGTATGGTGTAGTGGATACAGCATGCAACTGCCACCTTGTTGGCCAGTGTTCGAGTCCCCTGGTGGGTTGAGTGTCTAAAAAGTTATAAACTTCAGCTACTGAAATAGGGTAGTCTGTGCAATAAGCATATATATATATATATATTAAGCATACTGATATAACAGGAACCGATGAAAGAGCATTAGATATATCTCATTGCCTGGGAGAGGATTATAAATATATATGGCTTTATATAGTATACAGCATGCAATACCTTGTTGGCCAGTGTTCGAGTCCCCTGGTGGGTTGAGTGTCTAAAAAGTTATAAATATATATAGGGTAGTCTGTGCAATAAGCATATATATATATATATATATATATATATATATATATATATATATATATATATATATATATATATATATATATATATATATAACTGAAAACTCACACCCCAGAAGTGACTCGAACCCATACTCCCAGGAGCAATGCAACTGGTATGTACAAGACGCCTTAATCCACTTGACCATCACGACCGGACAAAATGAGGTGATAGCCGAGGCTATTTGAACCACCCCACCGCCGGCACTCGGATAGTAATCTTGGGCTCATTTTGTCCGGTCGTGATGGTCAAGTGGATTAAGGCGTCTTGTACATACCAGTTGCGTTGCTCCTGGGAGTATGGGTTCGAGTCACTTCTGGGGTGTGAGTTTTCAGTTGCATATTGTCCTGGGGACCATTCAGGCTTGTTCGCATTTGTGTTCCTCACGTGTGCCCCAAAGAATGAGGTGATTTGGTAAAATGCTATGCCCAAGATTACTATCCGAGTGCCGGCGGTGGGGTGGTTCAAATAGCCTCGGCTATCACCTCATTTTGTCCGGTCGTGATGGTCAAGTGGATTAAGGTGTCTTGTACATACCAGTTGCGTTGCTCCTGGGAGTATGGGTTCGAGTCACTTCTGGGGTGTGAGTTTTCAGTTGCATATTGTCCTGGGGACCTTTCAGGCTTGTTCGCATTTGTGTTCCTCACGTGTGCCCCAAAGAATGAGGTGATTTGGTAAAATGCTATGCCCAAGATTACTATCCGAGTGCCGGCGGTGGGGTGGTTCAAATAGCCTCGGCTATCACCTCATTTTGTCCGGTCGTGATGGTCAAGTGGATTAAGGCGTCTTGTACATACCAGTTGCGTTGCTCCTGGGAGTATGGGTTCGAGTCACTTCTGGGGTGTGAGTTTTCAGTTGCATATTGTCCTGGGGACCATTCAGGCTTGTTCGCATTTGTGTTCCTCACGTGTGCCCCAAAGAATGAGGTGATTTGGTAAAATGCTATGCCCAAGATTACTATCCGAGTGCCGGCGGTGGGGTGGTTCAAATAGCCTCGGCTATCACCTCATTATGTCCGGGCGTGATGGTCAAGTGGATTAAGGCGATTGTACATACCAGTTGCGTTGCTCCTGGGAGTATGGGTTCGAGTCACTTCTGGGGTGTGAGTTTTCAGTTGCATATTGTCCTGGGGACCATTCAGGCTTGTTCGCATTTGTGTTCCTCACGTGTGCCCCAAAGAATGAGGTGATTTGGTAAAATGCTATGCCCAAGATTACTATCCGAGTGCCGGCGGTGGGGTGGTTCAAATAGCCTCGGCTATCACCTCATTTTGTCCGGTCGTGATGGTCAAGTGGATTAAGGCGTCTTGTAGATACCAGTTGCGTTGCTCCTGGGAGTATGGGTTCGAGTCACTTCTGGGGTGTGAGTTTTCAGTTGCATATTGTCTTGGGGACCTTTCAGGCTCTTTCGCATATATATATATATATATATATATATATATATATATATATATATATATATATATATATATATATATATATATATATATATATATATATATATATATATATATATATATATATATATATATATATATATATATATATATATATATATATATATATATATCAGGCTCCTGTAATGGTCCTTTGTGTTCTACCATCAGGTATTCTACAGCAGTTTCCGTCCAGAACAGTACGGCTGCTGGTGTTGTGAAACACCTCGGGAAGCAGTGCCCGCAGTACGGACACCGTCAGGAAAGTCAGGAAAAGTGTGATACCAACTTCTTCAACGACCTGAGTAAGACAACCACCATCACCAAGGTATTGTCTAATCTTTCTCGTTGTACTTGGACTGACAACAATGGTTTAAAATTCTTGATCTATTCCAATACCAGGAAAGATCCTTCTCTCTACGAACCAAATCCAAAGAAACGTGTTCCTCCAGACAACTTTATCAGCCCTCAGCTAAAATATTGTAAGACAAACTTGCCTTCCATTGCATTTGAAAGGCGTAAATCCTTGTCTTGTACTAACTCCATTCTCGCCCTGCCAGGTATTAGAAAACCTTCAGTCTTCCACCCTGGCGATAGGAACAACATCACACCACCGCGAGATGGGATTATGAACTATAACTACTGTCATCAGAGAGGAGCCACTCGACATCCTGCCCGACATGCAACCCAACGTATCATCCAATCTACTAGGTTACAACTTCAACCTCACCTCGGACTTCAACATTCTTCGGTCCCTCCATCAGGATCAGGTCCCTCCAAACTTCGCTGAATCCTGCATCATGTGAACATTATGTATTACAATCTCCTTCAGTTCCTACTGCTAGCCCAGTTCTCCAATCAGCACTTGCTACGCTGGGTCTTGCATCAGAAGAACAATCTCACCCTCTCCTTGGATCACCATTCTCGTCGATCCATTCAGCTGGCACGATTCTACAGCAGATTCATACTTCTCAGAGTCCTGCAGTGCTACCTCAACATTTTCAAGCACCACCTTCTCCAGCTTCTGCAGCAGACCCAGTTCTCCAACCAACATCTGCTTCACTGGGCCCTGTACCTGCAGAACTTCAACATCACCATCAACTTCATCAAAGACTCCAACAACGTCGTCGCCGACGCACTTTAAAGAGTCCATGGGGTGGACTCATCCACTCCTACTATTCTACACTCCGCTGCAGTCGAGTAGGCAATAGGAGCAGGCTTTGAGGGAGAGCTGTCACGGTAAAATCTCTAGTAAGAGATTCGGCCTACTCCATTATCGCCTATTCTACTCATTCACGTCTATTTAATCAAGAACTGCAGCCAAAAACAACAACAACTACTTCCAGCCGTCTAGACAATACCACCAGTTCCCCCCCCCCACCTCCCTCCTGTACCATGGCCCATCACACCACCTTGCACCTGGGTCGTTGGGAGGCCACGCCCTCCTTAACAAGCAATTCAAGTGAGCAGGCTCCTAGTTTAAAGAAGACTATCAGCGCCCTCTGGCCGGCAGATATTCTGTATAAATAGGGCTACCAAGCTCTCCAAGATTCAGATTACTCCTGTGTGCTCAACTGAGTAGACCTGTTGACACATGTCAGTGTGGTAACAGATTTAGTCAGACTGCTCATGGTATTCTGCACCATATATTATTTTGCACCTTAACGTAACGTAAATTTGATTATTCATCTTGTTTGTTTTGCACATTTTGTATTAAAGCCAAGCCTGGATATTTTTTGTAATTTGTTTAATTTATTTTTAAAGTAATCCTGAAAATGCGTCCGGAGTCTGCCAGTGCAGACTGCCTATCACATGCCTCTGTATGACTAACCATCCGGTGTGATGGGGATTTTTTAGCATATCACCTAGTTAGCTTTTTTGACACACTGTACTCCACTTCATATAGTCTAGGGTAGCTACACTAATGCAGATATACCTCATGTATTAATAAAAAAAATTGAGGGAGTGAGAGAGAGAGGGGGCAGGAGAGAAAGAGATTGAAAGAGCGAGAGTGAGCATGAGAGGAAAGAGGGAGACTTCTAACTCAGTAAGGCACACATCATCCACAGTGTCATGCGTCAGTATTTTTTAAAATGTTTGGATATTGTTAAAATAAATAAAGCTTTACTAGTTTTATCATATATTAATCATTAAGAAATATTTAGGATTCCTTCTGTAAATATCGATGTGACAAATTGTTTATATGGTTTGGCAATATATTTGCACATCATAAAATGCATCACCACTTAGCCTTGTAACTTGCATTAAAAAAAATGTTGGACTAAACAAAGCATACGGTTACTTTGGAAGAACTATGAGCAAGCAAAAAGTGCCATTAATTACACATTATGAATCAAATCAAATGGCTCATTAGTTTTTATTATTCAAAGAATCCAAACATCCGTACGTACTTGTGAGGTCAGTGCCCTGGTAGCTCAGGAAAGGATAACACAACTTTTTGGAGAGGGGACAAAGTTGTCGAGCCAGATGGCAGCACCAGTCGATGTCGGGGCTGTCATCCGTTAAGCTGCAGACGATTGTCAGTTCGAGTCCTCTTCCTTTATAGGGCAGACTGGATAGTTTGGCTGGGTGCATGAGTCTCTCGGCTTCCAGTCTAATACCTGAAGATATATAGTAAGATGTACCTACAAATTTTACTGATAGCATAAGATAACATGATGGATTATTACATATCTAATATGTCCATAAAAGTGTTTAAGGGGACCAGTGCATGAGCACCGAATCTTCCTCAAACACACATTTTTTGGTGCATAATCTTCATGGTAAATGCCCCAAATTTTCCTAATGGATCAACATCATACCATAAAAAGAAAAAAGCTAAAAAATTCACTACTTCATATTACTAAAAATATCTTAAAATGTCACCAATTGTTATATTATTCATTATGGTCTCAGAATGGCATATAACGTTCATGTTCCTCTGAAAAATTTATTGTTTAGGAGTATAGTTTATCGTAAAACATTCTTGGCGTAAAAGTATACTCTATGGCGTATTCTTTTGTGTCTCGAGGTTGGTGTTCTCAGTTCGATAAATTTTAAGGTTGGAGAGGGTTGTTAGAGCTTATAATGGTTCTGGTAGCTTTCTCGGACCATTGTATGGTGGTTGCAAAAATTGAGATTCGGAGTCAGGTTAGGGTACGGAGAGGGTGATGGAAACGTAATTGTAATTTGCTAAAGTTTTACGATGTTGTTGACCAGGTTCGGGTTCGGAGGAAGTCGTTAGTGGACAGAAAACAATTTTAACTATCTCTTGGATTTCTGTAAAGGCGAGTGTTGGCATCGTTTGATTTCAATTGCTAAGAGAAAGGCAGCTGAACGGTTTGAGTTATTGAATGTGTTGCAAGCGAGGTTGATCCACTTGAATTCCTTGGTGAACGCTGGGTTTGATAAGTTTGAGGATATTTTTCTGTACAAAAACCAGATTCCTAAGTTGAGGGACGCGTTGGCTGAGGGGGTAAAGGTGAGAACTGGGGTTGATGAACGGTTGTTTCGGGAACATCTTTTGCAGTTTTTGCTTCAGAAGGAAAAAAGCAGTTTGTGAGTCAGTGTTGCTGACAAGTCTTCATATGCCTGAGAGCTCGGTTTTGTCAATTAAAGATGGACCGCTTTTGTATGTTAGGAAGGAACAATTAAGAATTTATATCGGAGGGTGAAGGGGGATCGGGGTTTTGGAGGAGTTTTTTCTCGATTTGTGTCTTCTGAGGTTGTCTCCGACGGACTGTCAGGTCCTAGTTAGTGAAGTTGGTTGTGGGGAGGTTTGATTGGATTTCCAGGTGACTTTTCAGTATTGCCTTCAGAACATGCAGTTGGTTGAATCTCAAGTTCTTGGAAATATAAAATTATTCCCTAAACAAAGCGACTTGCAGTTCTTTCGCTTCTGATCACTCTTTTTAAATCAAGATTACAAGATCATTTCAAAGTTGATAGCGAATACGTTAAGGTCAGTTGTGGGCCGAGTTATTTCTAAGGAGCAGTTTTGTGGGGTGGCGGGGCGGTCGCTGGTACATCGCAACAACCTGGTTAGAGAGGCTTTTCTTTGTGTGTATGACTCTGATTTCCAAAGCCATACCAGAATTCAAAAGGGAACAGCGTGTCAATGCCACATTCAAACCCCCACGACGAGTTTTGGCTCTGCTACATCAGCTTCACAACTACATATTTTCAAAATAAATTTGTCAAAAAAAAATGTCTATATTAAAATTGCCCCATTATTCACTGATCTCGAGAAAATTAACATAAATTTCCTGCTGTCAATAATTTAATCGTACTCTCATCAAACAGGTAATTCTTACAGTGTCAAAGGATTTAAACACTGACGTTCAAATCCCCTGGATTCAAATACAAGTTTTATATCCTGCTGGTAATAAGTACCTGGAGCTCTGCAAGTTAGAATTAGAAGTAATCTTTATCTTATCTTTATCTCTTTAACTTTATCTTAGTAATCTAAGTAATCACTCTCTTTATCTTTATCTTAGTAATCTATAAAGTAATCTTAATCTCTGTCTCTGTTTCTGAAACAGAGAAACAGAAACAGAGAAAACAGAGACAGAGACTGACAGACACAGTTAGAGACAGATACAGGCATAGAGAGAGAAAGAGACAAAGACAGTGGAAGAGACCGAGATAGACAATAGATAGATCGATAGATGGACAAATAGATGGATACAAAAATGAGTTGATGGATGGATGGATGAATATATAAATGGATAGGTAGACGCATGGAAAGATGAAGATAGATGGATAGGTAGATGGAAAGATAGTTGGAAGGAAATATATAGATGAAAGGATATATAGATTGATCGATAGATAGATGCACAGATGGATGGATAGATTGGTAGTTGGGTAGAGGGATAGGTTGATGGATGGATAGATTCTTAGATTGATGGATAGATGGATGGATAAACAGATGAGTAGAAGGATGGATGCATAGGTAAATATATGAGTAGACGAATACAGACATGAACCGATAGATGGAAAGGTAGTTGGATGGATAGAAAGATGAGTAGGTGCATAGATATATAGATGGGCCGATAGATGGATAGAAAGCGAGATGGATAGATAGCTAGATGGATATATAGATAAAAAGCTAGAGGGATATATATATAGATCGATAGGGAGATGAATAGATGGATGGTGTCGGAAATTTACGACACCATTTACTAACTCTTAACATAATATGCAATTGCTGTTTTTTGTTAAGTAAATACTAACACTAATTAGTTCAAACTATCTTAGTTACCCATGCTAAGATACTGGTGTTTTGGGGTCTCTACCAGAAAACGAGACCTATTGCCAAGTCACTGACTTATATACACCCACGAATTAATAAATCATCTTAATCACCAGTATACGGATTAAAGTGATAATGAAAGTATTCCCTAAGACTGGATATAATTACCTAACAAATAAAATCAAGGTCTCCTTCCAATTATTGATTCTAGGCAACAGAACTATTCCTGTGAGGCGTTGCTTGAGGGGGTGGCAGTAGACACCATTGTTATTCACATTTACTCGAAAGAGACAACACACTAGCTTGAGCCTCCCGCTAGTCACCCTGTGGTGCGACGCCAGAGTCGCTGATTACTGCTACAATGTTGTAGCTGCACTACAACATTGGAATGTGCATCAGCATCCGGTTAGCTATAATTAAGTATTACATTTTTGGCAATTTATGTTCTATTTATTCCTGACCTGGTCAGGAATAAATGGCCTGGCCTGGTCGAGGACCGGGCCGCGGGGACACTAAGAGCCCCGAAATCATCTCAAGATAACCTGACCGGTTATGTTGCAGGACAAGCCGCCTGGAATATGATAATAATTTAATAACCTTTCTCATGTCATATCTGCTATATATTTGTTGTTGCATTTCTACAATGTAATCTTTTGGCAGGTAAAATTGTGATGGAAAGAAATATTGGCAGCATCCTAACTGGTTCTCACATAACTTACAACGACACCATAAGTCTCATGGTCAACGAGGACTGACTTTGGGTGAACTCGACACGTCCTTTATAGTGATACAGGCTACATTCTGCAAATACACCTAAGCCTAGCTAAACATTATATTAACTGTTCATGTAATCGTAGTTTAAACAGTAGAATGCATCAGTCAACTAATTTTGATTGGAAAAACATATAATTAATCCCCCCGAATATGTGAAGGGAGGCTTTAAGTGGGACAAATTCAAACCTTATAGTCCACTCTCTATTAAGTAATAAATTAAGAGCAAATTAAATATAAATCATTTAATAAATACATATATAATAATAATTAAATCAATAATTAACTCCTGCTACTAAGTTTTCCCCACAGATGGATAGGTCAGGTGGGGTTATCTTGAGGTTATCTTGAGATGATTTCGGGGCTTTAGTGTCCCCGCGGCCCGGTCCTCGACCAGGCCTCCACCCCCAGGAAGCAGCCCGTGACAGCTGACTAATACCCAGGTACCTATTTACTGCTAGGTAACAGGGGCATTCAGGGTGAAAGAAACTTTGCCCATTTGTTTCTGCCTCGTGCGGGAATCGAACCCGCGCCACAGAATTACGAGTCCTGCGCGCTATCCACCAGGCTACGAGGCTCTATCCCCTGGATAGAAGGAAGGCTACATTGATAGATGGATGGACAGAGTGATAGAAGGATGGGCAGATAGATGCATAGATAGATTGATAAATAGATGGATATATAGCCATATATCCAGATGGGTAGATTGATGGATAGATGAATAGATTTTGAAATAGATTGATGGAAAGATGGTTGAATAGATAGATGTATAGATAGCCCAACAGATTGACGGACAGAGAGATGGAAAACTAGATGGATTGATAGATGGAGGAAACGATAGGTGGATGAATTGATGTATAGATGGAAGGATTAATTGATGAATGAGTAGACAAATATAGATGGATGGATAAATAGACAAACAGATCAAGGCCACGCTAGGTGACCTCTCTAGTATGTATATAAAAGTTAATATCTCTCTGTTGTTCGAAGTTGGAGGCCACTCGGTTGAGGCTAGCCTCACCCAAATGTCCATAGGGAATAGTCTGGGGTATGGGATAAACATAGGCCTGTCGAGTCTGCCAGAATTCAAAAGTACCAGTGCCACAATCAAACCCCAACGAAGATTTTCTACACTGCCCACCACTTACAGAGCTAAATATATTCAAAACAATCATTTCAAAAAAATTTATCATGTTAATGTGCACCGTTATTTACTAATCATGGGAAAACTAATCGAAATTTCCTGCTGTCAATAATTTTCCCGTACTCACATAAACCAAACAATTCTTCAACAGCTTCAAAGGTTTCTCAGGCCCCGGTTCTTTATAATAGTAAAGTTCTATTATTCTATAAAGCAGACAACCTACACATTAGAGAATTACAATTGTTATAAGAAACAGTGACATGCAGACAAATAGAGAAAGAGACAGAGACTGGGATAAAGACGGAGCCTAAGATAGAGACAGAAAGAAACAGTGAGATGCACAAAGCGACAGGCAAAGATAGACAGACAGACAGAATGACAGAAAGACAGACAGGCACACAGGCAGATTGTGATTTCTGTGTATAGTGAAGTAAGGGCGAAGCGGTAGAATAGCT